TATAATCCTGTATGGGGACCCCATTGAGAAATAAACCTCGGCCAGCGCACATTAATGGATGGCAGTAAAATGATATCACTGCATAAAACGAGTACATAATGGCAACAACTGCAAATTTATTTCAGTGTGCGAGTGTGTGCGACTGATGCTGACTAATTGTGTGAAAAACGGAGCCTTGAAAGAAAGCGTATGTCTGCGTTTTCATGTGTTCATGTCAGAAAAATGTTTTTATAACCATCAGTGTTTCCTTCTCATTCTTCGTTCATTAGTGACTGCCAACCATGTCTCACTGCTGATACAGGCATGAGAATGCTGAGAGGGAGACCACACCATGTTGGATCAAAGCCAAATATATGGCAAAATCAACATGTACATAAAGTATTAACACAGTAGGTGAGAACACGGACTGGCAACCAGCAACGTGCTAACATGCAGAGGGTGACATATGCAGCATGGGTGCCTGCTTGCTCATATGAGCGAAATACTATATGGAATGAATCCATCATCTGGAGTCTTTTTAACCATCAAATAGTGAGAGGGAACTCTCCAAAAGTATAGACTTACCACAAAATAGTAGTACTTGGAGGACTTTGCCATGAATTCTGGTCTGCATTCTCCAACCCCGACACAGACCTGCACGTTCCCAGTATACTGGCTCTTCTCTGCTTTACCCATCTCACACACAATCCTGGAAACACACATTTGCATAATTATGAAATATGTTAGCAAAGAAATTAATGATAGAATGATAGAAAATGCATATAAAGATACACCCAAATGCATATATACCACACACAAAAATGCCTATACAAAAACCTGCTGCCATTCGCCTTTCTAGCAAATGCAGAGCAGATTATGTAATAAGAATTGTCCTGTGGTAAAACCCCAATAAAATAATGTATTATTGGGCAGCAACTTCACCTCCTGCATACTGGCAACTTGTGGCAGAAAAAGGAAAAAGTCTCTATCCTTTTACATATGACCTCAAATACAGCTACCTCTTCTGCTGGGTCAGCATTTGCTTAGAAAGTGCTGGCACACAACTTACTTTCCTAGCAGAAGAAGCACTGGGTCTGTTGATAAGCCAACTTTAAACTAGTTTAAAATAATTTGATGGACGGCACCTGCAAGGAACCAAAGCTCTGGATTAAACTCAAATGTCAACTAAATGTAACCTCCTGAACTTTCTAAAGTGATTATAGGACTATGTGTGCTTGTGTGTGTGAGTGCACGCGCTCTACTATAAAATATTGAGGCCTGAGTTGTTCTTTGCTGCCCACAGCAGAACACATACAAGTCTCTTGTACTCTATGTGCACCACTGTGACTTGTAGTTAAATCAAACTCCAATTTTTTCTGGTCTAGGGATTAGGCCAATTTAGCATTAGTTTACTGGTCATGTCACAGTCTCTCTCTCTCTTTCTCTCTCTGTTAGTCAGTCACCTTCTCTTTTGCTGCATTACACATACAGGCACAAGAACACCCTGAGGTGAGTACTCTGACTCATGATCAGTTGGTCGTGCTGACTTGTTATGGCTCTGTCGTGTAGGTAACACAGGTAACACAGTGTTGTATCTGTGAGTGACTCAAGTGTCATGCTCCCTGTAGGGCATGAAGTCCTCAGCTGTGGTCAAAGTGCTTTCAATGGGCAAGTGAAGGGAGAGCAGAAAAATTACGCTGAATACATGATTTAGCTTTGCTGCTGTACCAAATTATAGTTTGACTTCTCCGTATGGTTCCAGTGCATCTGGAAAGAGACTATACTCTTATATTATATCTCTATATTATGTAGATTTTGGTTGACAAAACGATGATTTCCTGTACACCAAAGCTCATTATCACCTGTAATTATGAGTATATGTGCTGGTAATAGCTGCTATTAACTGGCTGCTACCTCAAATGGCTTACTGCTCTGCAGGAATGTAAATGAGGACTAGGTGAGGATAGGCTACTTATTACTTGCTGCAACTTTTATTCGGTCATTAGTGTAAAATGTTACTTACTGTTCAGCAGGGATGTAGCCCTCGCGTATGGGGGTGCAATCCACTTCAGCCACTTTCACGTTATCCTGAATCTCTCTGAACTCCAGTCCCAGATTCTCACCACGGATAGTCACAAGTGTGCCGCCCTCCCTGGGACCTCGTAGAGGGGTTATCTGTTGAAAATCAAATTAAGACTGATGATTTTGGAGATGTGACTTTGTTTTCTTGAACCATGAATATAAGTTTTTATACAAAGCATTTTACTGACAATATATGGCGTGACTGGGCAGAAGAAGATCAGAGGCCATATAATAATTCCCCAAGTTTTTTATAATTTTAAAAGTGAAAATTGTAGATGAGTAAAAGTGACACCACTCAGTTTGTTTCTCTCTCTACCTATTAGCTGCAACGTGTCTCTCAACCCTTTGTCCATACTGTATACAGATCTCATTCTTTAGCTTTATAGGCCATTATTTAAAATTACAAATTTATTTGCAACTTTATCTGAAAGTAGTGTGTCTTGGAAGAGCCACGGCAGTACATGGTATTATCAAGTTATAAAGTATTGTTATCATGAAAAAGCTTCCTAGAGTAGTGGCAAAGTAGGAATGATTGTTAACTAGCATCTGATAATGAACTCCTATTCAAGCATATTTTACCCAAAATGATAACTTCCCAAATGAGATTAAGAGTGTTAGTGCTCAGCCAGTCTCCAGTGTTCCTACTTCTTAGTGTTTTGGTTCTTCTGCAAAAGCAATATAGACGGTTCAGGTGTTGAAGGACAAACAAGTCAATGATAGCTATATATTTATTTTCAAATTCTTTAGGGATAAGTATAAACTTTTTTCTGTTCACACATTATATAACTCATAAAAAAGATTACTTTGCTGAAGGGTAGGAGGACGGAAGAGATGGCAGCAGAAAAGAGACAATAAATGACAAAATAACATCTTCAGTGACAGTTAAGGGGTCAAGACTCAGGGTCAAGGGACTGTCATTTCTCAATCCTGTATTCAGTGAAAACCACAACAATATATTACATAAGATTAACTTAAAACTTGGCATTGGGTGACATCTTTGCAGTAATCAGAGTGTCCTTTGATTTATCAATAGCATCTCTCATTGTTGATGAGGCAGTTCCAACATCCATCAGCACTTTACTCACACAATTACTTTTCGGCGAACGAGAGAGTGTGTGCACACACATCATCAGGCCGGCACAGACGGATGGATGTTAGAGACGGACACAATAGTCTGTTCCTATCTGTCTCTGCCTCCATGCTGCATGCTGCAGACAGGGGCGCAGCTTTAATGGTGCTGTGTCACCATTCCCCTGAAAAATAGTGATCCCAAGGATTTTCACTGAGGCTGAGACTCTCATTGCTTCTCAGTTTATAGTTGGCTGTGTGACCCCCTGCAGTGTTCACAGGAATGCTGCGTGAGTGTGGCTTTATCTTATGGCTTGAAGCTCTTGCTTGTTGATAATCCTTATGTTACTACCACATGTGCCATCAAACTATTTCAATTTGGCCATTTGATTTTTTTTCAAAGAAGCAAACTAGAACAAATTGAACTACTGTAGCTGTGCTTGAAAGGAACTAGCCAGTCAAATGACAGAGGCAAGCTGAAGCCAGGTCATGCACAACACAAGTCCTGTGGCTGCCATGTGAGAGATATCGTTATTGTATGGTTCAATGTCTCTGATTAATAAGACTCCCTGCTGATATCTTAATGGAAAAAAGAGCCCTGTGGGAATGGGGCTACAATACATGCAATTAAAAAGATTGCACACAATGCATCGTGGCTCTCCAATTATTAGCAAATATGGAGGATGGAGAAGGAGAAAGACTTAAAGAGAAATAGTCAAGGAGAAGGAACAAGCTAAGAAATGAAAGAGAGAGAGAGAAACGCAATGAGGCGTTGATTAGATTTGTGACTTTGACAAGATAATTGACGGTTGGGTAGAGGCAAACGCTTAATCACTTCTCTCTCTCTCTCTCTCTCTCGCGCTCCCCCTTTCTCTTTCCATCTTTCTATGTGAGTCTCCCTCTCTCATATTGTTGATAGGAGATGTCATTATAATGAAGCGTATTAGAATGCATTAGGGCCCCGGTCGTCTTGGAAAAGTCTTCACTCCTCACCCACTGACAGTTTTTATGGGGGACGTGAGAAGGCTGCAATATGTCCCTGCTGCAGCCTCGGGGATGTAAGGAGAAATACAGGGCCCATCTCCAGGAATAAATCCACTGCTCGGGGTGAAGACAAACACTAGAGTGGAGCAATGATTGAGTGCACCTTACTGATACAGACTGTTTAATAAGTGCAATGGGGGACAAAATATAACATTACCTTCCACAAGAGTTGTTAAAAATAATCACAATGGTCGGGGTTATCGATGAGTGAGATAAGTAAGGTAAATAAGGCCCCTGTTTTGTAGAAGCGTATGTCCTCAGTATCCATTCTTCCAGACTTCTCTCTCCTGTGTCTATCTTCCTCTGACGGCACTCCTTTACTTTATTCAGAAAAAATCCAGGAAAAATTGGGAAATTCTGCTGAAACCATTCAAAGCCATCACTCCCCAGGACACCAAAGGGGATCTCCCCTTCTGTCTTTTATTTTTATCCACTCTTTGCTTCATTCCTTCATCTCTAGTCAGTCACCATCTGCTCCTAACTCCTCATCGGGAAAAAGGATGCAGAGATGACCTTCCATCATATCTATCACTGGGAAATGGGGAGGGGTGTTGGGTTCTTCCCTCACCCCTTCAGCCTCATGTGACTCTATTCTGGCTCTACACAATCAGTCACCACCTCTCTTTCATGTGAACCCAATCCATCCTCCTCTCCCTTTATCTGGGCATCTTTCCATTCATCTTTCCTTTGTATCCTCTTGTCCTTCATCTCGCTGATCCTTATCCATTCTGCTATTGCCCCTTTTATATGTTTTGCACAGGTCAAGTCTATTTGCCTCACATGGTGTCTGCAGTTTTCAGGAGCACATTGGGTTAAGTGGGGGTTTGCGCAGAGGTGATTGATAGTAAATAAGAGTGGGGATGATTTGTCTCTTTCTATGTCTTACTACCCAGGACTACCAAACTGTTTGTATGTTTACATTGAAGTAGGAGTAAATTTAAATAAACATTTTTGAGAAATGCCATCTAAAAAGGCATATTCAAATGATTGCTGTGATTCAAGAATATGATTATTGTTCAAACTTTTGATAAGAGAGATGTGTTGCTGCACTGTAAAATATATAGTTCTTCACAAATGCTGTCAGACTGACTATCTGGTGGTGACTTACAGCCTATGCCATTATGTTAAAATGATTAACTGCCAACACTATCTTTAAGTGCATTCCCATCAGTTCACTATAATTATGTGAATATGTATGGCCGTGGAATGAAAATGGACTTACATTAATGTTGCATAGCTTTGCCCATATAGGTGCTCATGTGTAAAGTATGTACTGCATGTGTGTCCTGGCACGTGTCCCACCTGTGTGATCCGTGGGTGGGTGCACTTGCTGTTGATGCCGTTGTGCTCCAGCCACTGGTTCTCAGGGTGGGGGCAGTGTTGTTTGAGGGTGCAGCGGTTCTCTCCTTTACACCAAACACACCCAAACAGCGGGTCTGCCTTCAGACACAAACCGCAGCTTCCACGCTGGGCGTCGCACTTGTACAGATGGACTGTGCAGGAGAGAGGAAAGAAGCAGAGAGAAGGAGGGAAAGAAAACAAGGGGGAAGGAAGGGAAGAAGGTAACAGCAAAGGGAGAAAGAGTGGAGAACTCAAGTGAGAAACATTTGTACAAATGATTACAGAACAGCAAATGCATGCAAATTTATTTTGTGCCTCGTAAATGATGGACAAACACTTCAAAACTAAAATTTTGGTTGTTTACCCAAATCTCTCAATGTCTGTCAGCTGCTGTTTGAATATGCGAACGACAAACTGAACATTTTGAGAGCGACATTCATTGATATCTTTGTCTCATTATCTCTTCATCTATCATCATCATCTCTATATACTCCCTCTCCCTCCTTCCCTCCCTCCCTCCCTCTCTCTTTGAGTTTCCTACACTACTGCCTCTCGCCTCTGCTCACCCACCACAGATTTAACATATCATCTCCATGGCAACGGGCCAGCCATTTTCTTTTTAATTGCCATTAGATGCATGTGTGATCTGTCCATCAAATGATGCCCTAGGAGCAGCTTCCTCCACAGGCAAACAAAGGTAGGAGGAAGATAGAGGAGGATTCTCTAGTTTAAGCATTTCCTTTTTAACTTTTATTTCTTTACTGATTTTACACTTATGCTCAAGGATATGTTTTGTACTCTGTATTTGCCTGAGACACACATGCACACAACCACAAACACACACAAACACACACAAACACTGTACAAACTTTGCCTTACACCACTGTGTCATGTTGGCATATCATCCACATTTTAACAATACGTTTCTTATGCCTGACTCCGCTGCCTTTGGTTAAAATGAGTTGTTTTCCTGTCAGAGAACTACAACCCCCAGCATGCTGCTGTTTTCCTGCCCCAGCATGGATCACTCACAGAGGTGGATTGCCAGTGGCCAAACTGAATCAAGCTCAGCAGCTGAATGCTTAATAATTCAGCACTGAGCTGTCATTCCACATATACCGTAAGTAGATGGAGAGTTGGACAGAAAAAAATGAGAGGCAGTGAAATGTAGCATATGCTATACAGCACCTATATGTCTGTCTGCAAATTATATTATTATGTATCATTATTTAGATTAATCATTTCAGTTAATTTTTTGTTATTATTGGTTATTTATGAACATTATTTTGTTCAGCTGTGTCTATATGTTTTTCCACTACTGCTCTTCCTAAATGTATGCCAGTAAAGCACATTGAATTGCTGAGATGAGAAAAATAAAATGAAGGGAGGAGAGAGGCAGTGGCGACAGAGATGGATAGATTGCCAAACTCCCAGAGAGGTGTTGACAAAGCAAATAAGAGAAAGAAATAATAATATTTGAGAGGAGGCAAGAAGATGGAATTTAGAGAGTTGGGAAGACAGACAACAGTGAAGTGTAGGAGAGACATATGGACAAATGGAGAGAGACGGGAGGGGAAAGACAGACCTACAGAAGGAAAGCGTAAGAGAGGATGTGTTAAAGTTAACCACTCTACACAGAAACATCAGGGGAAGGATGCTGCACCTCAGCACACCGCCCGCCTGTTGCCATGGAGACTGGCTCCAAGGGCAACAATAGGGAGGCAGTGGCTTTAATATGTGTTTGTGTGTTTGTGTATATATGTGTGCGCAAAGTGAGAGTTCATAAGACACTGTTGACTCTACAGTGTATGTGTATGGTTTCTTACGATACTGTGAGAACTATGGAAAGAGCTGATATGGATTCATAAGTGTGTGTATGTGTGAGCGCATGTGCAAGCACGCACACGCGCACACACTACGCCGCACACACACACACACGCTACACGCCGCGACACACGCCGACACACACACACACACACACACACGCACACACACACGTACGTGCTCTTGAGTGTGCACATGCTATGTGCAAGCTCACCTTTGTTGTGGGCGGGGTTGTCGATGCTGAAATCTCCGTTCCAGATGACGGTCAGCTCCACGGGAAGACTGCTCATCTCCATCCCATCATAGAAATACTATCACCATGGCAACCGGAAGGAGGGAATGAGGTAGAGTCGGGGAAGTCAGTATGAGAGAGAGGGAGGCTGTGCTACTTTAAACTGTCTATTATCTCTTAAGTCCAAAAGACTCTGTTATCACAATACTCCTTTTAATGCAAAACACATCATCAACAGGTGGCTTTAGACACACACACACACCTTAATTGACTACACACAGGGAGTTTTCAAACAAAATTATTTTACAATTTGAGTTCTGTTAAAAGTAGCAGCATGCAGAGGGTTGTGCTAGAACATAATTTTCCGCTAAATTTTACAGTTTCCCTCCTTCACTGCTCAATCAAAGCTACAATATTTGGATTGACTGTGATTACACACACAAATCCCACAGACATCGCTACACAGACGCTGACACAAACAGCTTAGAATGATGAAGATTTGACAGAAGATGAGATTTCTTGCTATCAAACAGATTGATTAGCATGCAAGACCAGCATAAGCCCTTTTTTCATTGCTAGTATTTCATTGCCGTCAATGTCTTATTCAGTCAGTGAATGGATCATGATCGCAGGATGGTTGTGTAGGAGAGAACAAAGTCAGGCTCTTGCTTTCTCATCTACCCACTGTCTAGCCCTACAAGAGGAAAAAACCCTCAGCTTGAATCAAGAGTGTGTGCCTTTATGTGTGTGATTGAAAAAAAATATTATGGTCACTTTTATGGCAAACTTTATAAAACGGGACGTTTTTATAGTGCATTGTGTTAGGTGTTGGTGGGCGGTGTCAATGATGATCCACAAGATCTAATTCAAGTAAAAAAACAACAACACACACATCACAACACCACACACACACACACACACACACACACCACACACACACACACACAAGCATCCTCACCGATGTGTTTTGACCACTCACTGAGGAGCTGTTGAAGCGCAGGGCAGGAACTCTTGTGCTCAATCCCTGATGTCAGCAGACATTCATACCCCCTCTGCTCCATGACTGGGGCTTGGGGAGGTTCTTGCTCCGTTCTTTGCCCGAAGGGTGATCGGCTTTACCACATTGACTGGCACAAGGATCCTATCTGCGGGCAGCAACTGGGGACACCCCTGGAAGACAGATAAAAAGACAAGGAAGGACAGTGTGTAAGTACAAGTCTCATCACCAGATTTAATGCATAACTGCAATTAGATTAATGTTACTCAAATAAATCCTGTAAATTAGTTTCCCCCCTGAGTGTTATTAGAGGGGCAGATTATCTGTCACCTGAAGCACAGTAAAGTACACACCTTTTCCATCAACACTCACATCTCATCAGGACAGTACTTTACCAACACTGGTTTATTTGAATGAAATAGACACTTCATTGTGTACTGTTTTCAGTGTTTAAGAGCTTGTATTTGTGATAGTTCCTACTGGGTTGATATCAACTGAGTCTCATGATTGACAGTCCTGGGACCTGCTCACATTCACTGGGAGTGAAGGGCCAGCTCAATAGATGCTCCACTGTCATTATCCACAGGATGAGAGCTTTCAGTTTGGTTGTTGTGTTCATGAAGGAAATACGTCACTGATCGCAAACAAACGGTATTAAATATTAAATATTAAAATA